TAGAATGGTATCTGTACATGAGAGCCACTAGAGGTCACTGTTTACAACGTTTTTAATCGAGTTTAGTTGAACTTGGTTTAACTGAAATGAAAGCAGTCATTAAAGCAAATGCTTGCTCTTGCCCCGGAAAAAAAAATTATCAGGAACATTTATTGACAATAAATCATCCGAACCACTGTTGCTTCATTGATGGTTGTGTGTTGTGTTAGCTGCCACAAACATATTAAACTCTGATCTCTGTGCTGTTAACCTCTGAGCACTGCAGAGTGCAGCACAGTGTAGGGTGAAAAAATTGAAAAGAACAAAAAGGAAAGAAAAAATGTCATTGTGCTTTGTTTAGATTTTTTCAGTCTTACTCAATTTCATAGCTGCAAGTTAATGATAATAAGCTATCTACTATAGTCAAAAGGTCTTGGGAACACAGACCATTAGTGCTGTCGAGAATACACTTTTGGCAATTGGGTAATTAAATTCAGCACAATATGGTTAGCTATTCTGAGACATTTAAATTTTCCACCCTTATTTCTGAAGTTCCTGACAAGATTTTATTTCCCTGCCAAGACAAAAGCTGAGTCAGAGGCATGTGATTACTGCCAGGATATTGAGTTGAAGTAAGATGACCAGTACTGGATATGATCTACACTCCTCTCTGTTGCTGTCTTTGTAATTACTGTATGTCATTACCTTTTCATCTTCTCTCCCTCTCAATTTTTGCTTTGTTTGTGGTTTTTCTATGCTCTTACTTTCTCCCTTTCATTCAGCATAACTGGTGGAGGCAGTTGGCTGGCCGCCCTTACTGTGGTTCTGCTGGAGGTTTCTTATTGTTCAAAGGGAGGTTCCCCCCCCCCCCCCACCCCCCTCTTCCCACAGAAGCAAAATGCTTGCTATATCATCAGGTTTCAATCTATGACATTTAAAGTTCTTTTACTTATGATGATAAAGTGCCCTGATATGTTGTTGTGAATTGGCACTATATAAATAAAATGTAACTGAACTGAACTGGGGGGGGGAAATGAAAATACGGTTTAGTTGGATGATCATTTATTGTAGCTATTTAATTTGTCCACAAAATAATCTGCATTGTCAATTAAAATTGGTGTTTGCCTTTAAAAAATAGGAAAATCCACAGTGGAACACTTCAGTTCTAAGTCAATGCAGAAAGTCAGCAAGGAAATGCATTTAGGCATTTGGAAATGGTTATGATCAAGATAAAGATAAAATCAAGAATCAAAGAAACAAATCAAAGGGGAAGAAAGTGACGTAAGTGACTTAGGTGACAGAGAATGTCCAGACTGCTTCACGCTGATAGTGCAACAGTAACTCAAATAGCAACCTCAAGATATGCAGAAGAGCGTCTCTGAATGCACAACACATCAAACCTTGAAATCAGATGGACAACAGCAGAAGAAGACCGCATCTGGTGCCACTCCTGTTGGGCAAAATTAGGAAGATGAGGCCACAATTCACAAAGGCTCACCAATTTTTACTTATTTATTTTTTGTGATTTCTTTGACTACTCGGTTAGGTTCAGGATAACTTTTCACACCTCATATAGTAGGAAATGAAATACATAAATTACGTGTACTGTTTACGTTTATTGCATAAAGGTTTGTCAAAAATCACAAACAACAAAACTGGGCGAAAATATTGGAGGTTTTTGCCCATATCTGTCCATATCTGAAAATGTTGTTTAGTTGTATTAAAACAATCAACTGATTAAAAAAGAACCCTGCAAATACATTGTTTGCAACTGACCAATTAAATCGACCAGTAGGCCTACATGTTGGTGTTAAAGTATTAATTTGTTCATGGTGTTGACAAACTGATATTTTCTTTTTCGTCTTTTGGATCATTTTTGTGGAGCCCTCTGGTCGCCTTGCAGCTCCTATTTGTTTTTGCCACTGGCCTTTTGGTATTTGAATGCCTTTGTCGTGCAAACATTCGCTTTTGTCAAACAAAATCAGCCCATCTACGTTGTCTTCTCACTATTCACGGTTAAAATTGAAACAAAATGCTATAGACAAGCGATCATCAAGAATCAGAGTTCAAAGCCATTTTTTCAAGAAGCACAAGATATGAAAAACAACGACTTTTAATTAAAGAAAATCTTTTTATATTGAAGCTGCAACAGGAACAAAAACGAAGTTTAAAAAGTCAAAATAAGGAGGTTAGCAGTCTATGCCCCGCCCTCCTGCAGCGTTCCTACAGTAAAGTAACGGTAATCTAATTACCGTTTTTGCGATAGTAATCCCTTACTTTACTCGATACTTTTAAAAAGTAATCAGATTACAGTAACGCGTTACTGCCCATCTCTGTTCACAGGATTGGAAAAAGTCACTTTAACAGGTTAAAGATGTGCCACCACATCTGCATTGATAGTTTTTATACTACTTTTGTCACGATCTGGTTGTAGGGACTCAAGCGCAGAGCGGTTAGATGTCTCCAAAATACAGTTTATTTACGGCTCCAGTGCACAATATATATACAGTGAAGGGAATCCAAAACTCCAGGGAATCACAGGGTAGCTCTCTCACACTCGCTCACGTCTTCTTGCCCACGCTCACACGGCAGGGAGGTCGCAGGTCCGGGGGGGGGAAGGTCTGAAGCAGAAGAGAAGGGAAGTCACAAACGAATCACAAATCACGAAGCACAAGTCCACAGGAGCTGTGAGAACACTAACATCAGTAATACAATCATCCAGCGACGAGAGGATCTGTGTTCCAGCCTCAAATAGTGCTCCTGGTGATGACAGGTGATTGTTGTCAGGTGTGTGGGCCAAGGGCGGGAGCCCACAGTGAGCTCCGCCCAGGGAGAGAGGGAGAGAACTGAAACAGCAAATGTAGCCTTGTGGGGCCGACCGGGCAGGCACGGAGACCATGACAACTTTACACTGTTTATCAGTTTTGTTTTTGTTTTTTTAAAGATGTGGCTGCTCAGCGTTTCCACTCATAGGCTAGATCTTCTAAGCCCTAAAAACTCACTCCAGATGAGGCGCAAGAGTCCACTTCCCTCTCAGACCACTTCAATAACAATATGCTGAAAGGTTATAACCGATTCTTTGATGATGCCAGCTCCAGCTTCAACTGCTGAACTAGAACTGATTGCTAATTGTGCTATTATTGTGAATCAAGTATCTGATTTCACTCTGTGAAGCAAAAATTTTTCCCAAAGGTCTGTGGGCTTGTTTAAGACGTGGCAGTTTCAAATCAGCTGACCAGAGAATGCCTACTGCAATGGAGGTCTGCTCACATTTCAAAACAGTGCCTGTCTTTCCACTCAGCTGATTTTGAACTGGATTGAAACGTATTCCTCCAGTCTTTCAATGTTACCCTTCAATATACTGCCAGTGAGTGGGGTCACGGGGAGAGCATTCAGTTCATTTAACAAGTCCGGGCTCTGTTTTTATTCCATAACCTAGGAGGTTAACTCTGTGAACAAGCTCTGTGAGACAAACAGAAACATGTAACATATGTCCTGTGTGTAACAGTAATGCATTAAACTTAAAATGTAGAAGGAATACTTCCAAAAGCTTACATTAAAGATGCGAAAGTTTGGCCATTTCTGTTCTGCATTTGGTAAAAGGAATGCAGAAAAAGAAAGCAACCAAATATCTTCAAAGATATTTGGGGGTTAGGGGGGTGGTGGGTTGGTTTGTTTTATTTATTTATTTATTTGTTTTTTTGGTGGTACAACTTGAGATTGAGCAACAATCACAGATCCTGATTCATTCTGATAGTAAGAAAGGGCAGTAAAACTCTCAGGCTTTTATCTTTAATAGTTTTTGACATGTTCATGTTCGATTATGGCGGTAGATTTCACTGTGCCAAAAAGCTGCCTGGAAGTGGGTGGATGGACCATTTCACACACACACAAAAACCATCTTTGAAATTATTTGATATATGAAAATGGTCGAGTAGAAGTCGAGTAGAATGCTTGTGGTGATTTGAGATGGAAGGACGGAGCTGTGTTCTTGAGACAATCATCGGATCAGTTCAACACCGTGGCATTTCATCCGTTTGTGTTTTAATATTAGTCAGTTGGAATATTTTTATGCTTTCAGATGAGCATGGCCTCTGTTCACTATTTAAGTTGGTCCCATGACTTAAACACTGACTTCTTCTTTTTTGGGCAAGCTTTATTTACTGATGTCAGTAAGTCTAAGTGTAATTATACAGTAGCTGGACTTTGTTCATGTTATCATTCAGAAAACAGGGAGCTGTGTGTACTAACAACGTCATTAAACGCTGGTTTATGCTTTGCTGATAAAATCACAATCCTAAACATACATAACCTGCCAACAGTTCCAATATTACTTTGCTAAAGAGGACCCATCATTCATCTGTAAAGAGTTCCTGCTGCAAACAATATGAGACAGTGTTCCATGACTATTGTCACCAATTACATGGAAACAGTTTCTTAATTTCTGATGATAGTCATCTAGAGCATTGGATACTTATCAGCGACAATCCAGAGGATTACAGAAATTACCACATGTAGACAGATCTCAAACTTAAACACTATTATTCAAACCAGGAGAGGGCACACTTTAACAACTTTTCAGAGATTTCTTTTCCCCCAATATCACTATATCCGTATTTTCAAACAGAACTTACTTTTTTAATTAAACCTTTCCCATAATAATCACTAATTCTTGTCACTACATTACTTTGTTGGCCATCTGAAATTGCTTGGAGGTAAGATATACATTAAAGAAAGTGATGTTAGGAAAATGTACTAGTGCTCTCTTACTGAATTACTCAGAAAGCCAGGAAGTAATCTACTTTCACATTACAAACAAATTAGGTATGAAACAGTCAACAGAGTCTTGTACACTGGAGAAATTAGTCAAAAGATGTCATGTTTAATTAATAACCACAGGTGCGAGGCCTATCCTGATAAGGTGACGTGAACAAGGAAGTCGTACAGCAAAAATAAAAACCGGTTGGGTTGCTCTTTGTTTGAAATACCTTTGACTTGCAAACATACAGATATGCTGGCAACTGAGCTGTAACAAGGGAAATTAGAGCCGCTGAGTATACTCAAGATAAAAGATGGCAGGAAACTTCAAAAGATTATTTAATTTTCTAGTACTTTTTTCTTTTGTTAGTGTCGCATGTTTTGTGCTGGTTTTATTCTACTCCAGAAGAAGCTTTGTGGTTATTGTTTCTGAAAAACATATTTTGACACTGGGAAACAAAACATTTTCAGGGATGGTAAAGGAGCAAGTCGCGAAGCTGTTGGAGAGGAGGATCAAAGCCTCAAACAAAAGCAGTGAGATGGCACCGACACCATCTGCTGTCAGCTTAACTTTGGGCCCCTGCCCTGAAAACCCCCCAGATCTCATAGGTCCACTCCTCGTTGAGTTTGATTTCGGAAGGACTTGGGAACATGTGAGAAAGGAAGTCAGTCCTTTGCTTCAAAAAGGAGGAAGGTTCAAGCCAAAAGACTGTGTTGCAAAGCAGAAGGTAGGTGAATGACTTGAGAAGAAGAGAGGAAAGAAAGAAACCAGCAACTGATAGCAACTTGCATTTAAGGGGACAAGTTTCCTTAAATTTACTATTTATGTAAGGATTTATTTATTTGTTTGTGTATTTATTTTTACATGTTTTTGGCACTCTTTTTTCATAGTTTATTTTCAATACTTAAACAGGTGTAAATGATCAAATAAAACCTGATTTTACCCAACCAAAAGAGAAATTAGAGGTAATATATAGAGATAAAATGGTATCATATCATATAATGATTAACTCACTCACATATTTCTTTATTTGGCTTCATTCGATTCAGTATCATTTGAAATAAACTCGGAAAAAACGTCATGCTTTTTTAAGCTTTTAAAGATAACACGTGACATACATGCTAATATTAAACATCGTCACATTTAAATAATGAGGTCTGTCATTGTATGAGCACAATTATCATGAGCTAAAAGCACAAGCTTCAGAAAGCTACAAACATTCCAATTCAGACAATTCTTTCTACAGTTGGATCCCAGTGACACTAATATGGTCATTTCAAGCAAACACACCTGTGGTTTGCTCCCAGCCAAAAGAAAGCAGTCTTGAAGGGAAGGCAAACAGAGCTAGAGAGAGGATGAACTGTCACCTGGTATGAGATAATACTGAATCATGCAAAGCTACCCTAGAATCAATCAAATAAAATTATTGGTGAATCACGGGCTAATTTTTCAAATGTTAAAGTAAAAGTTATTGTCATGTCTTTAGGTGGCAATCATCATCCCATTCCGGAATCGGCACGAGCATTTGAAGCACTGGCTTTATTACTTGCATCCTATACTGAAGCGACAGCTTGTGGACTACGGAGTCTATGTCATCAACCAAGATGGAGAGGGAGTCTTCAATCGGGCTAAACTGATGAATGCAGGATATGTCGAAGCGCTCAAGGAATATGATTATGACTGCTTCCTCTTCTCTGACGTAGATCTGGTTCCCCTAAATGACCGTAACCTCTACAGATGTTTTGACAATCCACGACACTTGGCTATAGGCATGGACAAATTTAATTTCGACTTACCCTATAAGACCTTCTTTGGTGGGGTCGCTTCATTGTACAAACATCAGTACTTGAAAATTAATGGGTTCCCAAACACCTACTGGGGTTGGGGTGGTGAGGACGATGATATCTACAAGCGAATAGTCTTACGTGGAATGCAGGTTTCTCGACCTGACTTACTGACGGGCAGGTACAGGATGATCAAACATCAAAGAGACGCGCACAATGACCCAAATCCAAAGAATCCTGATAAACTGTTTCAAACACATTGGACCATGAATGCGGATGGCATCAATTCCCTCAAATACACAGTAAAGAACATTGAGAAGGATATCTTGTACACTTTTATCACTGTAGATATCGGCTCTCCTGAATGATCTGCCTGAATGCAATTTAACTCTCTTGCGTGGCCAGTGATTCATTGGTGTTTTGATCTCAGAACTGAACGAGTGACTTATGCTCTTAAAATCTCTGTGAATCCAATTTGCCCTAAAATAAATAAATAAATAATTAATTTAGGTATCCACTCCAACAAAAGGAAAATGTTGAAATTCTGAATATTCAAGCAACTCATTTTTTTCATTTTTTTTTTTGCTGCACTGGGACAAACAGGGAAATTCCAGTGCTTGTTTCTACTTTATTTTTTTTGAACTCTGCAAAGTATAAGCAATTATAAGTGATGATTTCATCTGTTTTGCAAACAGCAAATAACAAGAAGTATAATGTCTTCTGGCTGGGTTTGATCAGCTGTTAAGTAACCTACCAGTTTAGATTAGATTAGATGAAACTTTATTAATCCCTCGGGTGGGATCCTCTGGGAAATTTAGTTACCAGTAGCACAGCACCAACAGAAGTTGCATGTTACAGATACAATAAGGGGAATGAGAGTAAGGATATAAGCATAAATATACCATATATATACATATACATATATTTTAAAAAGTGTGTTATAACTGTGTGCTATATCTAAGAGGTAGAAAGTAAAGTAACTAAAGGAAGGTGAAAAAAAGGTTTAAATTTAATGCTTAAGAACCTACCAACGAGCATGATAAATGGGACACTATTGTATATTAGATATTCTTAGAGAAGATAAGAACATTAAAACTGCTGTCTCAGATGAATGAATGAATGGCTTCATTTTTAAGCCTCAGGAGTTGCCATTTGGCACCAACAGAGGCAGCCACGGCCACTGTGTCTGCTCAATGTTTGTGCTAATAGTGTCTATTTAGAGCATTTGGATTTCAATTACTTCACAAGTGAGACTGTATACTATGGAGTTTATTTTCATCATAAAATGAAATGACAGATGGTAAAGTCAGAATTTCAATTCATAAACAACATAAAAGCATGGATCCATTTGACCTTGTGTCAACTTTTCAGGCAGCTAGTGGTGGTGCAATGGTGTGGGATATTTTCTTAGCACACTTAGAGACAAGAAAAACTTCGGCAATATTTTTTACATATTTTTTCTCTAATATTTTTATCGGGGAAAACAATTATCATTTAATCACAATAGCCTACCTGAGTGTTATAGCTGAGCACGTTCCTCCCATTTCCCAGAAAGATAGCACACCATGTCACACAGTTCAGATTCTGTCTAACCAGTTTTTTGAGCATGATAATGCATTTTCTGTACTCACATTCCTCGACAAGCACTAATTCAACAGAGCACCTTTGGCATGTGGTTGAACAGAAGATCTCCATCATTACTGTACAGCTGACAAATTTACTGCAACAATGTGTTGGCTAAGGTCATTATGGATCAAAACCTCTGAATGTTGCCAGCTCTTTATTGAATTTATCCAACCAGTATTAAGGAATTTCTGAACGCAAAAGGGAAACCAACCTGGTTCTACAGCGAACAAATGGGCTGCTGCCAGTGCTTGCAGTGCAGCGGACCTTCAATTGACCCATCAGCCCAAAAGTGCACCAGCCTGGTATGTCAGATTACCAGTCCACTCCTGTTCACATGGACTTGAACTTCACATGTTCACATAAACTTGAGTGACATCCCATTCGTCTTACAGCTATAACAGCTTCAATTCTTCTGGGAAGGTTTTCCACAGGTTTAGACATGTGCTTATGGGAATTTTTGACCATTCTTCCAGAAGCACATTTGTGAGGTCAGACACTGATGTTGGATGAGAAGGTCAGGCTAAGGGTCACTGATTCATCCCAAAGGTGTTCTACGTGGCTGAAGTCAGGACTTTGTGCAGGCCAGTCAAGTTCTTCCACAAAAAACTCATCCATGTCTTTATGCACCTTGCTTTGTGCACTGGTGCAGTGATGCTGGAACAGGAAGGGGCCATCCCCAAACTGTTATTACAAATTTGGGAGCATGAAATTGTCCAAAATGTCTTGGTATACTGAAGCATCAAGTGTTCCTTTCACTGGAATAAAGGAACCGAAACCCACACTATTACCATCCCTCCACCAAACTTGACTCTTGGCCGACAAGTACCAGTGTCCTGGCAACTGCAACACCCAGACTCATCCTTAAGATTGCCAGGTGGAGAAGCATGATTCGTCACTCCAGAGAACACGTCTTCACTGCTCTAGAGTCCAGTGACGACATGCTTTACATCATTGCTAAGGCTCAGATGCGGCTGCTTTCTATGCACTGTTGTTGAGCTAATCTGAAGGCCACATGAAGTTTGGTCAGTAGTGACTGACTCTGCAGAAAGTTGGCGACCTCTGCACACTTTGTGCCTCAGCATCTGCTAACCCCACTATTTTACATGCCCTACTACTTCATGGCTGAGTTGCTGTCGTTCCCAATCACTTCAGTTTTGTTATATTATCACTAACTGTTGACTGTCGAATATTTATTAGTGGGGAAATTTCACGACTAGACTTGTTGTACAGTCTAGTCGTGAAGCCTATCACAGAACTACACTGGAATTCACTGAACTTTTGAGAGCGACCCATCCTCTTAGAGATGTTTGTAGAAGCAGTCTATGTGTCTAGGTGATTTTATACACCTGCTCTTCACAAAATACCAATAATGCTTAAGTACAGCTATACATGTCTAGGTGTCTGTGAAGGTTCTCAGTCATCCAGGTCATCGTAGTCAAAGGAGCTTGCAAAGAAAAGCGTCTGGACTTAACTTAAAGAAGTCCAGACGCTTTTCTTTGCAAGCTCCTTTAACTATACATGTCTAGATACATCTATGGATTCACTACGTTAGACTGATTATTTTAATGTGGTCATCATATTGTATATTATATTATATATTATATTAATGCTTTTAGGGAAATTTATTTTGAGAATTGAGTTAGTATAAGATGGTAATCTCAGGAAAGTTTTAGCACAAACTCAGTTTAGTATAATTTTTAATTCAATATTGAGTAAAAATTTCAAATCTTTGTACTTTGTATTGCTGTGTCTGACCTTACATTTTAATATTCTCAATATTTATCTTGTGATTGATAATTAAATTTTGAATCATTTTGCTTCATGCCTGACACGGTCATATTCAGTTTGCAAGTTAATCACATTTTCCGTTTTATCATTTCAAAGCAGAATTTATCACTCTAGACGAGCACATGCTGTTTTTAGAAAGAACTTACTGGTGTCATAACCATGTGATGCTTAACATTGTTTGGTATCCAGGACTGTCTGGCGTCCTGAGGAATAAACTAGACTTACACATTCTGAAGGTTACAGCTGTACTAGCGTCATACTGTACTGGATCTTCTCGTCTTTACGGTGTACCAAACAGATGTGCCCATTTCAAGGGTCAAAATCTTTGCGCTTCATGAATTCTTAATAAAAGGAAGATTGCACAATTTTTCCCTGAGATGAACTGTAGTGTCACTCAAAAGGCAGACTGAAAAGTGAAGAGGGACAGAGGACAAAATGACACTAACACCTGTGAAGAGGCGAAAAATAGTAGTGAGAGGAGGCTTCACATGGGATGCAAAGTTGAAATCCAGTGATGCAAAGATGTGTTGTGTGCTGAAGGTCACACACATTCAAATGTATTGCATTTCCATTTTTCTAAAGGCTTCACTTGGTGTTTTATTGTCTTTGTATGCATTTTTTACTGCAGCACTTCAACTCCAATCACATCTTTCACACACTGTGTCAGCACCCACCCCCCAAACAGACTCCCATCCTCCTTCCTGCCCAGCCCCCTCTTTTTATTGGTTGACCTAGTGGAGTTACTATGGGAACAACTGTGGAGAGGCTGCCATGCAGAATGTGGGGTACAGCTTTTGAATGGTGCTCTGTCGTACACACATGCACTCACACACATTTATCAAGGCCAGGAAAGCCTACCTACCATCAAGATGTTGTGTTTTTGTAAATACTAGTGGCCTTCATTTTTCTCTGTCTGTGCTAGAATTTCTTTTCTTTACCACCAGATAGGTAGTGTAGTCTTTCTTTTTCATTTTTTTTGTTATATTCAACTGGTAGTACTTTTACTTACAGTACTATGACAGCAGTAAATGCTTATTTGTTATTTACTACAGCCCGTGCTAGAATATTTTGCCTACAATCAAACTGTAGGTCTAAATCTATTAGAGCAAAACTACTGGTCATCCACTACCAGACCTTAAAGCAGATGGGCTACGAAAGACCAAAGCCACACCGGGTGCCACTCATATATGGAAAGAATTTTAGAGCTCATCAAAACTGGACAGTAGAAAATTAGGGGAAAAATTGCTGAATCATGATTTCTGCTGCAACATTTGGATGGTAGGGTCAGAATCTAGTGTAAACAAACTGAAAGCAGGGATCCATCCTACCTTGTATCAACAGTTCAGGGTGCTGGTGGTGTTGTCTGAGATATTTTTATTGCACATTTTTATTGCATACTGGCTCCTAAGAACCAGCTGATTGTCGTTTGAATGGCACAGCTTGTTGCTGACCATGTCTACTTTTTGTGATCACAGTGTACCCGTCATGTGATGGCTTCTTCCAGTTGGATAAGACACCATATCACGAAGCTCAAATCATCTCAAACTGGCTTCTTGAACAAGACAATGAGTTCATTGTACTCAAATGTCCGCCACAGTTACCAGAGCTCAATCCAATAGAGCACCTTTGGGATGTGGTGGAACAGGAGACTGGCATGGACTACTAGCAAGCTGTACCTAATGAAGTGGCCAGTGACAAGTGGATACTTGTGGCTGGTGATCATCAGAAGTTATACCAGCTAAATAAAAGCTTCATTTAAGAGCACTGAAGCTCTTCAAACCCATTCACATACTCACAATAAATCTTATTCTGCCACTTATTCTTTGCTTTTCACCATGAGTCCTTCCCTTGTTCTCTTCCTCACTGGTTTGAATAAGAACCCCATTGTTCATCAGAAACTCAGTGCTCTCTGTTGCACTCTTTAACCAGATTTATGGCCGAAAACAAATAAGCACAAACATGGCTCACACTGAGAACAACTGTCCACATCGAGCAGCCAAACAGCAGATTACTGATGAGATCAGCTGACACAGATATATACAAACACACACACACACACACATGCAACATTACGCACCATTCTTACTGTCAGCATCCGTGGCTTTGATGTGGTGGGCTGGTACAAGTGAGTGTTATGGTCTTACGTAAGGTTTTTACATAAACCTCGGAGTGTAGAGAGCTGGATAAAGAGGGAGGGGGAATTGCTGCACCATTACAAAGGGGATTCGCACTGCACCAAATCCTCCTCCTACTTCACATGGATAAACCACAACATATAAGCTTTTTCTAGCAACATGAGCCATTCTTGAAAAAATGCGACTATACTTTTCATCTATTCAGGACACACACGGGTCTCATATCCACATGCATCAGTTGTCTCTCTTTGTCATCACCGTGCCTGTCTGTCTCCTTTCTTTCCCCAACAGAGACCAACAGTAGCTAGGGACGCATCTGTCGGGCTTTCATGTCAGCAATCAATAGGATTTATTGATAACCTGTAATCCCCGACCCAGAATGACCTCTCCCTAAGTGCCGGACCACAACAATATCCAAAAACTAAAGCTACATTCTACTCAATGCATCACCTTTTCTCACTCAGGCTGATCCTTAGGGATTTAAGACAGCAGGACATGAGGGGTGGGATGAGAGAAGTGGAATTCAACCTCCATTTTATTTTTTCTCCAAACACAAAAAGGACATAACTCCTATGATGGTGTAAACGTGCTTACAAAGAGTCAGGGGCTCATCTATCAGCGCAAATACAGTTTTCTTTATTAAAAATGTAATGAGGTTTTCACAATATAAACAGATAGAAACATAAAGGAGGGGGGGAAATCTGCTTTTCATCAGAGCAAATGATCACATAAAGGCCCAGAAAAAAAAGAGAAGTGTGTGCCTGCAAAAAATACATTGAGCTGAGTCTGGTGTTGGTGAGCCCATGATGGAAACATGGTGACCTCAGGAGTAAGAGTGTGTCCCAGTGGAACAGTTGTATCATGCCATGTCATACCTGGATGAAGCTAAGAAACAGTGACATGTTGGATAGAGTGATGTCCTGTATTTAAACAAAACCTGGTGGACATTGATTGCATAATGACCTGTCATCTTTCAGTTCTACAGAATCTGACTGTTAAAGGAATCCAAGTAAAATCTTGCCAACCAATAACATCAACCAAAAAAATACTT